GTTCAGATGCAGAAGCAGATTTTGGGGCTGACAGGAGCAGGTATGACAGGTGCAACAAGTGCGAGAGGCGGTGTAACGTTACCGCAGATGTAGATATTGTGTGCATTATGTTTGTAATGTTTTGTAAAAAGGTTCAGTCAAGTGGTAACGGAGGGAAACGGGCAGATTTTTGACATTCAAATGTCTCTTATTCAGAAACTAGAGGGACTATTGAAATAAGTAACGTATCAGAATGTAGGAAAGAGTTACACTCCAACAGGGTCAAGTTAAACCTGTGATATTCGTTCAAGTTGCTGACAAAAAATTTAAAAACTCAGTAACGGAGGGAATGAAATATGCAGCACTTTTTGGGCAATAAATCCAAACAGTGATAACTCTTGGTTCTCACTTCCATATCCTTAACAAACTGGTTTGAATATTTGCTTCATATAGTTTTTCTACCATATGGTACAAGATTAGGTTGAAAAACCTCTTACTTTTTGAGTCATGAGATTTTTTATTAAGAAAGGTCATGGTAACGGAGGGAAAAGTAACGGAGGGAAAATTGTGCAAACAAGTAGAAGGTGCAGGATTTTACATCATTTGTTGCTTTTTTCTTCCGAATACTTTAATATTACTTCAAAATGAAAGGAAACTATTTCTATAAAATATGTCAGTCCTTCCAAGAAAATTTTTATCATTTTAAATACATTTTTTTTTTGAAAAATCATGTACCTTCATCAACAGTTCAAAGATGGAATAACACAAGATATGATGAAATACAAACATTTATTTACATGATTTTCAGGTCTTTGAAATTTGGGAAATAATTTTTGTTCCATGTTTCATTCATGGTCTGTTTAAAACATATGGAACTTTAGAACCAAAAATGGTCCAGAAAAAAGGTCAACAGTTTCATAAACTAGAGTACATATGTATCTGTTCAATACACTTTTATATCAGATGCATTAACTTTAATTTTTGGCCCTGATGTTTACTTCTGCTTGACCAAGACCAAAAGTCTTCTTTGTTACCTGCATGGGGACAACGAGGAGACATTTGCTCAAGCGTGTAGGTTTGCAGAAGGACAGTGGGGACATCAATATCTGGAACAAAATAGTCCCAACCAATATTTACCATTTTAATCAACAAAAATTTAAATTTATTTCGATATTTTCCCAAACTCAGTGCTATTAACTGGACACGTTTTAGTTCACATTTTGTTTAATAGACGTTCTGAGATGTGTTGAGTGATATGATGACAGGGTTACTCCTGCCGCTGTTTCATTGGCTGTAACAGAGTGATGTCATTAGTGGAGCCAGGAGCCTAAACTGGGGAAGTGGCTTGACAGGGTCGCACCTGAAGATGTCGACTTGTGCAGGTGTGAGTGAATACGCAACACCAAACTTTGAAAAACTTTTCAAAAGGAACTTACTTGACTTCATCTTCAGTTAAACTTAACTTATAATGAGTCGTTGCGGAAAAAGAAGGACTATCACCACAAGTTCACCTCCCAAACAGAGCCCTACTCGTGCGCCGTGAGACCCCGACTCTACTGACAATATTCCATGGAAAAATGTTTGGACATGACCTCACAAATATCTCATCACCAACAAGCAAAGAGAAATCTGCTACAAACTTCTACATCACTGTTCTCCACTAAACCAGACATGTCAAACTCAGGCCCGGGTGCCAAATTTGGCCCGCAATATATAATTATATTTGGCTCGTGAGATCATATCAGATCTGTATTAGAGCTGCCCGCTGGCTACAGATCGACTATAGAAACATTATTGATTTAAAATGTTGTTAATTTTATAAGTTCTGGTTTTTTTATTATCTATTAAAAGAAAAACAATCTGCACGTTCAGATTTTATCTGAATTAATGATTGTTACGCTTTTTGGTTACCCATTTAATACTTTATTTGTTATAAAGTTGATTGCCGCCCTCTAGTGGACGCCTTTGGTTTTAAGTTTTGTTTTTCTACCGCACGTGCTCACTTACAAGCGTGATCGGTTCGCAGTCTGACAGAATACGTCTCTGTTTTCGGCCTTGGGGCATCTTTGTCCGTAAGTTTGGCTTGTTTTGTGTTATAATATTGTTTTCTTGTATTGTTATAAATATCTGAAGGTTGGAACGGTGGTTTTGGCGCATTCGCGGTGTTGCTTATTGCTAGTTTCTTTGCTAGCTCCGTCCTGTGTTTGGGCTGGGTAGTGGGGCTTTTATTTTTGTCGTAACATGCACGATTTGTTAATACACATCTTTTGTGTGTTTGTTGCAGTTTTACAAAAAAGGAAAAACGGAAAAAAGAAAAAGACAAAGAGACAAATGTGGAAATAAACGTCCGTAAAGACAAGTCTTTTCCATATGGTCGTGTGGACTCTCTTTTTTTGTATGTTCGCTATCTGTCTAGCCCTGGTAGAGACGCCATCGTGAGGACAGAATAGTAAAAGGACATTGCACAGCGGGCTAAGACAAGATCAACTGTCACCATCGCACTGTGAACGAATAACTCAAGATGGAGCAGCAAGACAAGACGGACCAAACACAAAAACTATATGAGACCAGGTCAGAAGCTTCAAGATCAAGTAGGTCCTCAGCTAGTGCTGCAGCCACCAAAGCCAAAGCTAAAGCTGAAGCAGCCCTAGTAGAAGCCAAATATGCAGCTAAAGAAGCACAAGTGATGAAAGAAAAGGCTAGAATAGAAGCAGAAAATCAAAAGATGTTAGCTGAAGTAGCTCAACGTAAAGCAGAGCTAGAGGCTAATCTGTACGTGCTAAAGACAGAGAGGAGCGCCACCGCAGCCTCAGCAGAAGCAGCAGTCTACGAGGCCGCAGCAGCGATGGAGAATGACCCTCTCGACGACTTCAACCAGATCCCTCCACAGGACACTGCTCAACGCACCAGCGAGTATGTGCAGGCCCACTATGCACCAAAACCTCAGCACGAACCTCCAGTCCATCAGCAGCCGCCTGTCACATCTTCCAAAGCACAACGAGCACCGTCGTCACCTCTGCCTGACCAAACGCAGTGGTACCCGCTTCCTTACAGGGAAGCAAGTCTACCGAATTCCTTTGTTAAGAATGAGGTAATGTTTAGCACTCCATGCAGAGCCCAAACACGTTATCCTCCTGCTCCGATGTCTCACACATCCAGTCTTAGAGACTACCCTTGTGAAGCAGCACCACTGACTGATCTCACTAAATATCTAGTTAGGAGAGAAATGGTAAGCTCTGGACTATTAAAGTTTGATGACTGTCCAGAAAACTATTGGGCCTGGAAAACTTCTTTCCAGGATGTTACCAGAGAGCTCAATCTAACAGCTAGAGAGGAGCTTGACTTGCTGATAAAGTGGCTCGGCCCAGATTCATCTCCACAAGCAATGCGAATCAGGTCAGCTTATGTTCACAATGCCAACGCAGGTGCCAACATGGTTTGGCAAAGATTAGATGACACTTATGGTTCACCTGAGATTATTGAACATGCACTTTTGTCAAAGCTAGAGAACTTTCCCAAAATCTCTAACAAAGACAATCAGCGTCTCAGAGAGTTAGGAGACATCCTAATGGAGATAGAGTTAGCTAAGTCAGGGGGGCGTTTACCTGGTTTAGCTTATCTTGATACAGCCAGAGGAGTAAACCCTATTGTAGAAAAGCTTCCTTATGGACTGCAAGAACGCTGGATCACGTATGGCTCTAGATATAAGGAAGTGCATAATGTTTCCTTTCCACCTTTCAGCTATTTCGTTAACTTCATTTCCAGCCAAGCAAAGACCCGAAATGATCCAAGCTTTTCCTTTTCTTCAACCTGCATCACAAGTCAAATAAAACAAGACAAACCAGTGAGACATTACAGTAACAACAAAACAGTGTCAGTTAGAAAAACTGAGGTTATGGCTACACCTGTAACACCCAATAACAGTAGTCAAGAAAAGAGAGTAGATGAGCCAGCAGATCGTTGTCCAATGCACAACAAGCCACATCCCCTAGCAAAGTGTCGTGGGTTTAGGGGAAAACATTTAGATGAAAGGAAAGCTTATCTAAAAGAAAACTCAATCTGTTTTCGTTGTTGTGCATCCACTAAACACTTGGCTAAAGACTGTAAGGTTGCTGTTAAATGCAAAGAGTGCAATAGTGACAGACACATTAGTGCCCTCCACCCTGGACCTGCTCCTTGGTCCACGGGAGCACAAGCGATGGAACAAGAGCATGGCGGGGAGCAAGACAATGCCTCATCTCCCGAGGTCACCTCTAAATGTACTGAGATATGTGACAAAACACAAGGACTCAGATCGTGCTCAAAAATCTCTCTAGTGAATGTGTACCCAGCAAACCGCCCAGACAAAGCTCAAAAAATGTATGTGGTCTTAGATGACCAAAGTAATCGCTCTTTGGCAAAATCAGATTTCTTTGAGCTGTTTGACATTAGTGAAGCTCCATCTACTTACACTTTAAAAACCTGTGCAGGCATTAGTGAAGCTACAGGTAGGAAAGCTCACAACTTTGTTGTTGCGTCACTTGATGGACAAACACACATAGCATTACCCCCTCTTTTAGAGTGCAATACAATGCCAGATGACCGCAGTGAAATTCCCACACCTGACATTGTACAGTATTTTCCTCACCTAGCACCAATAGCAGGTAAAATACCACCACTAGAGCAAGACACGCCCATCCTTCTGTTATTGGGACGAGACATTCTCAGTGTACACAAAGTGCGCGAGCAGTACAATGGCCCGCACAACACACCTTATGCTCAGCGGCTAGATTTGGGGTGGGTTATTGTGGGTGAGATCTGTCTGGGGAGAGCTCACAAGCAGACTAAAGTGAATGTTTACAAAACTAGCATTCTACAAAACGGCCGCACTTCCTTCCTCGAGCCTTGCACTAGCGCCATTCATGTAAAAGAGACATTCACTCTCCCTAAACTGCAAACTGTTGTTTTCGGTGACATGGAGGCAGCTCTACTCAAACAGCCAGACACTCTAGGGCTCAACGTGTTCCAAAGAACGCCTGATGACGATAAACCAGCCTTGTCTCTTGAGGACAAAATCTTCCTTGAGATCATGGACAGGGAGGTGTACATGGACAGTGACAACCACTGGGTGGCGCCCTTACCCTTTCGTAATCCACGCCCTCTCCTTCCCAACAACAGAGAACAGGCTCTGAAACGCCTCACTGTTTTGAAACGGACATTAGATAAAAGGCCAGACATGAAAGAACAGTTCATAGATTTTATGGAAAAAATCTTTGCAAATGACCAAGCAGAAATTGCCCCAGAACTAGAACCAGGTGAAGAATGTTGGTACCTACCGATATTTGGAGTGTACCACCCCCAGAAACCAGGCAAAATCCGAGCCGTGTTCGATTCAAGCGCCCAGTTTAATGGCATCTCTCTTAATGACACTCTTCTTAGGGGACCAGACTTAAACAATACACTGCTTGGTGTTCTTTTGCGCTTTAGAAGAGAGCAGGTAGCAGTTACTGTTGATGTAGAGCAGATGTTTTACTGCTTCAGAGTAAAGGAAAGTCACAGAAACTATCTCAGGTTCCTATGGTTCAAAGACAATGACCTGAACAAAGAAATAATAGAGTTCCGCATGAAAGTTCCAGTATTTGGGAACAGTCCATCCCCAGCTATTGCTATCTATGGACTGAGACGAGCAGCTGAGCTAGGGCAGGAAGAATACGGCTCAAACACAAAACAGTTTGTCTTTCGCAATTTCTATGTTGATGATGGACTGGTTTCTGTGTCCAATGAGAGCCAAGCTATTGAACTTTTGTCTCGAGCAAGAAAAATGCTGGCTGAATCAAACATACGGCTTCACAAAATCGCCTCAAACGTCAGTCAGGTCACTAATGCATTTCCACTAGAGGAGCGAGCAGCAGATCTTAAGGATTTAGATCTGGATGTGGACCCTCTGCCTCTTCAACGAAGTCTTGGGCTTGGGTGGAACTTAGAAAATGACTCTTTTACATTCCAAGTGGGAAAAGATACTAAGCCATTTACCCGCAGAGGCATACTTTCTGTTGTAAACAGCCTATATGACCCCCTAGGGTTCGCTGCCCCAGTGACAATTCAGGGCAAAGCACTGTACAGGGAGCTAACTCTAGAACAACAGGACTGGGATGAACCTCTACCAACAAACAGGGAGATAGAGTGGACCAGATGGACTGAATCACTTACTGCTCTTGAAGGTCTCCAAATCCCCAGACCCTTTGTACCAATTTCACTGTCACATACTCAAACAAGGGAACTATGCATTTTTTCAGATGCTTCAACAATGGCAATAGCAGCTGTAGCTTACCTCAGGGTTGTTGACACAAATGGTCAGTGCCATGTGGGGTATATGATGGGTAAATCTAAACTAGCGCCATCTTCTGCCCACACAGTCCCACGCCTAGAACTGTGCGCAGCTGTTTTAGCAGTCGAACTCGCTCAGATAATCATCGAGGAAAGTGACATTGAGTTTCAAGCTGTCGACTTTTATACTGACAGTAAGATAGTTCTTGGGTACATTCACAACAGCACTCGCCGATTCTATGTGTATGTAGCTAATAGGGTTGCCCAGATCCGCAGATCAACCACACCCGACCAGTGGCATCATGTGGCCACAGACCAAAATCCAGCAGACCATGGTACCAGGCTCGTTCTCGCATCACAACTGCAATACACAACCTGGCTCTCTGGTCCTCTGTTCTTAAAGGTCAATACTGAGCAACGTGATAAGCCTGAAAGTTTTGATCTTGTGGATCCATCAGTGGACATGGAAATCCGTCCTCAAGTGACCACTTTAGCAACAAACGTCAAGGAGAACAAGCTTGGCTCACACAGATTTGAGCGTTTCTCAACCTGGAAATCCTTGGTTAGGGGAATGCAAGCTCTCATTCACATGGCAAGGTCGTTTTCAAAGGTCATACCTACGGACCACTGTGATAAACACTCCACAGATCTCTCTCAAGCAAAGACAGTTGTTATCAAATGTGTTCAACAGGAGATCTTTAGAGAGGAAATCAAAAGACTTTCTGAGGGAAAAGAGATATCCTCGCACAGTCCCCTTGAAAAACTTGATCCCTTTATTGATAGTGAAGGTTTGTTAAGGGTTGGGGGACGTTTGCAAACAGCAGATCTTTCTGAACTAGAAAAACACCCCTTGATTATCCCAGGTTCTCATCATTTAGCAGTTCTCTTAGTCAGACACTATCACAACCAAGTAGCTCATCAGGGACGTCAGTTTACGGAGGGTGCTCTGCGCACCGCAGGACTTTGGGTTCTAGGGGCTAAAAGACTGGTTTCTCGCATAATTCACCAATGTGTCACATGTAGGAAACTAAGGGGTCGTCTAGAGGAACAAAAAATGGCAATTTTACCTGCTGATAGGCTTACCATTGACCCGCCATTTACTTACGTAGGTTTAGATGTTTTTGGACCTTGGAATGTCACATCCCGCCGCACAAGGTCAAACAGTGCTGAGAGCAAAAGGTGGGCAGTGATGTTTACATGTCTTTGTACTAGGGCAGTGCATATAGAAGTTGTCGAGTCAATGTCCACCTCCAGCTTCATAAACGCTCTCCGACGATTCTTGTCAATCAGGGGACCAGTCAAACGCCTTAGGTCAGACCAAGGTACAAACTTTATCGGTGCCTGTAAGGAGTTGCGAATCAACTCTGAAGATCCAGAAATCAAGAATTTCTTACAGGACCAAAGCTGCACTTGGGCATTCAACACCCCGCATTCCTCTCACATGGGAGGGGTGTGGGAGAGGATGATCGGACTAGTTCGAAACATTCTCGACAGTTTACTTTTGAAAAACTCTAACAGTCGTCTCACACATGAGGTATTGGTCACTCTTATGGCTGAGGTCATGGCCATAATGAACGCCAGGCCTTTGGTCCCTGTGACTACAGATCCTGAAACACTGGAAATCCTCTCACCTGCAATGCTTCTCACTCAGAAGGCCAGTCCAGTGTTATCACCTCCGGGGAATTTTGAACTCAAAGACCTTTACAAAGCCCAGTGGCGTCAAGTTCAGGGGCTTGCCGATTGTTTCTGGAAAAGGTGGAGGCAGGAATACCTCACCACTCTGCAAGCAAGACGAAAATGGAAAGCAGAAAAACCTAACATAAAAGAGGGTGATGTTGTTTTGTTAAAAGACACTCAAATCAAACGTAATGAATGGCCTGTTGGTATTGTAGTTAAGGCTATTCCCAGTGATGACAAAAGGGTAAGAAAACTTGAAGTCAAGATTGTAAAACAAGGTTCTGTTAAGACGTATATGAGACCTGTTACTGATGTAATTGTACTTTTGTCTGAAAATGGGGATAAAGGTTAAATAGTGGTATATTCATTAATATACCAGGCGGGGAGTGTACTGTTGACCCATTTAATACTTTATTTGTTATAAAGTTGATTGCCGCCCTCTAGTGGACGCCTTTGGTTTTAAGTTTTGTTTTTCTACCGCACGTGCTCACTTACAAGCGTGATCGGTTCGCAGTCTGACAGAATACGTCTCTGTTTTCGGCCTTGGGGCATCTTTGTCCGTAAGTTTGGCTTGTTTTGTGTTATAATATTGTTTTCTTGTATTGTTATAAATATCTGAAGGTTGGAACGGTGGTTTTGGCGCATTCGCGGTGTTGCTTATTGCTAGTTTCTTTGCTAGCTCCGTCCTGTGTTTGGGCTGGGTAGTGGGGCTTTTATTTTTGTCGTAACATGCACGATTTGTTAATACACACATCTTTTGTGTGTTTGTTGCAGTTTTACAAAAAAAGGAAAAACGGAAAAAAAGAAAAAGACAAAGAGACAAATGTGGAAATAAACGTCCGTAAAGACAAGTCTTTTCCATATGGTCGTGTGGACTCTCTTTTTTTGTATGTTCGCTATCTGTCTAGCCCTGGTAGAGACGCCATCGTGAGGACAGAATCATATTGGACCTGCTCAGTGTGTGTTTTTAGTTCAAACAAATTCTCTCATTTGACCCTTTCTTATAAACATGTAATGTTTAGTTTTTGCAGTGTGCATCATACCAAAAGTAAACATTATTATATCATTAACTGTTAATCTAGTCATTTATCAGTTGGTTTCATGGGGGTGATTCATGATTCATTTCATGATGTGTCGTCATCACATGTTTCCAAACGTGTTCCATAAGCATGAATAGAGACTGGGTTTGCAAGACAAGACAAGATTTTAACAATTTCTACATATAAACAGTGCAATTTAGTTTTTGACTTTGGCCGCACCATTACTTTATTTCAATCAGACCTTATTGCTTGTGTGTGCTCTATAGTTTTAATCTCTGACCCCATTAGAACATTTTAAATCACAAAATTCAATATCTAAAACAACTTAAGAAAAGAAACAACTCTGCTGACTTACACTTTAGTAAACTGTGGTGTCCAAAATGATGACCCGACGCTGCCCAATACTACATGTAACACAGATTAAGAACATCAAAGTGGGGGAGGAAATAAGTACAGAGGAGTGGCCGTGGTAAAAGTGGGGTAAATCACAAAATGGTCACTGCAAACACGACTTCAGAAGGTCAGAGAGAAGAAACTATCACATGAGAAAAAGCTCGGCCCTCGCACTTGTACTGCCCCTGTCCTGCAAATAAATACAACTGGATGTCGCGGCAGGTGTGGGCCTGACAGGAGCTGGCCGGGGCAGGGGTGACAGAGTCTGGGTGGGGTTGCGGCAGGTGCGGCAGGAGCGTCAGGGAGTGTAAGATGGCAGATGTGGATGATGTGGACGTGTTTTGTTGTGAGTTGGACGTCCCGCTCAGATGCAGAGATGGGTTTGGGACTGACCAGGGCAGGGGTGACAGGGTCTGGTCTGGGGGGGTTTGGGGCAGGTGTGGCAGGTGCAGCAGGAGCGGAGGGGGGTGTAAGATGATGGCAGATGATGATGTGCATATGCGTTTTATTGTGAGTCGGACGTCTCGCTCAGGTGCAGCGGCGGGTTTGGGCCTGACAGGAGCAGGGTCTGGGGGGGGGGGGGGGGGGTTGCGGCAGGTGCGGCGGGGGTGACAGGGGCGGCGGGTGCGGCGTTATCACAGATGTAGATGTTGTGAATTGGATGTCACGCTCAGATGCAGAGGCAGATTGTAAACTGTGCTTTTATTAAATCCTTCATTAGGATTCATCAGAGAGATTGGATCAGAGAAAGGTCACTCCAGACGCACTCCTCCTCCTCCTCCTCTTCTCTTCCACTCCTCCCCCTCTTTTATCACTTCTCTCCTCTTCCTCCTCTCTCTCTTTCTCTCTCTGCCCTTCTCTCTGCTCTTCTCTCTCTCTTTCTCTGTCCTTCTCTCTCCTCTTTCTTTCTGCCCTCTTCTCTCTTTCTCTCTCTCTGCTCTTTTCTCTCTCTCTGTCCTTCTCTCTCACTCTTTCTCTCTCTCTGCTCTCTCCTCTCTTTCTCTCTCTCTGCTCTTTTCTCTCTCTGTCCTTCTCTCTCACTCTTTCTCTCTCACTCTCCCCTCCTCTCTCTCTCTCTCTACCCTTTTCTCTCTCTTTCTCTCTTTCTCTCTCATGCTGCCCTTCTCAGAAGTGAAATGTTTCTTTGCTGCGTCCTGTGCCCTGTGCATCCGTGGACTAATGGAGTTAGAGCTGCACTGTGTGACATTTCGGTTGGGGGTCTGTCACCTGCTTGTTTCTACGGAGACGTCACTGTTCTGTCTGGAATGTTCCCCAGTGTGGCATTAAACAGCTCCACTTTATTCAATTACAGGTGGTTTTGGAGCTCAAAAATACAAAGAAAAACAGACATTCGGACCTCTCCACAGATCTGACCTGTAACATCTGACCCCGCCCCTCTCTCTCTTTGTCTTTCTCCCTCCCTCTTTCTCTCTCTCTCTCTCTCTCTCTGTCTCTCTCTCGCTCTCTCTGTCCCTTTCTCTCTGAGTGCCTCTAAACGCATTTTCGTGTAAATGTGTAAAAATGATCATGGGCCTTTTGGAGAGGCACAAGGTGAAACTGACATTTTACTTCCCCCCCCCCCGTCATCTCTCGCTCCTCTCTCTCTCTCTCTCTCTCTCTCTCTCTCTCTCTCTCTCTCTCGCTCTCCCAACCTTTTTTCTCTCTCGGTCTGTTTTGATCTCTCCCTCCTCCTCCCTCATCCCTCCTCGTCTCTTCTCTTTCACAATTTTCTCATTCTCTGCCCACCTCTCGTTTCCCCTCTCCCTCCTCACCGTAATCTCTTCTATTTCTCTCCCTTTGCCCTCCTCTCCCTCCCTCTCTCCTGCCTCTCTCTCCCTGGGCTCCGCTGGGATGCTCGCTCCACAGCTCATTTGTAAAGTCGCGTTTGTGAAAAGCGAAAGCGCGACGTTACTCACCGTTCACAGGAGATGAGTTTTACAGAGAGAGAGAGGAGAGGGAAAGGAGAGACGAGAGGTGGAGGAGAGAGAGATGGAGGAGAGTGCGAGGGATAGAAGGAGAGAGAACGGAGGTAAGGAGAAAGGGACAAAAAAAGATGGAGAGACACAGGGAGACACATCAGAAAAACATGCGCTGGAGGTTGGGTGGATTTTCGCTGTTCTTTCGCTGAAAAAACTGCGCCTTGAGGGTGAAATAGTGTCTTGCCCGAGGACACAAAAACCTTGAGAACTGAACCTTGACTTGGCTCATTTTTGGAACAATCAATTCAGTCCAACTTTATTTGTATAACACATTTTATAAACCAATCAGCAGAATGATGTTCCAAACAAGAGGAACTAGAGTCAATCGATAAAAGAATAATCATAAAATCAATCAACAAAAATAATTAAATCAATCAATAAAGGCAGTGCTAGTTTAGTTAGTTTAGTTTATTTTATTTTCTTCGGTCAATTAACATAATCATACATCATACTGCAATGATTTAACACACACACAAATGCAGTTAATGCTTATCAATAAGGTTTTTCTATAGACTGAAGGGGTTTAGACTGAAGTTTAACACTTGTTTTGCCAAAACATATTAATATATAGAACTCAAGACGGCAGAACTATTGACAGATACAAAACTCATCTTTTGGGTGCAGGGAAAAAAAGAAAATGTCCCTAAACCTTTAAGTATACATTAGGGTGACCAAACCTCAGTTTTTTCCCGGACATGTCCATATTTTGCGTCTTGTCCTGGGCGTCCAGGTTTTTTTTTTTTTTAAGTGATGCAAATGTCCGGGGTTTTCAGTACCGTTCATTGGGGGCATTAAACTGAGCGTCTCTCGTAGCGTCTGTGACTCAGAAGGAACGAGACACAAACAGTCAGTCAGTCTGCAACACGCCGAAGCGTAAATGTGCATTTAACAATGACTTGAACAAGAAATTCTCTGTTTTCCATCCCGGTCAGGACAAGTGTGAGGTCATGTGCACAGGTTGTGAGGTGAGAGGACAGTGTCCCTCGTTTATCGCGGGGGTTATGTTCTAAAAATAACCTGTGATAGGTGAAATCCACGAAGTATCAACTTTATATTTTACACTTATTCTATCTGTTTTAAGTTTGTAAAACCCCTCACCACACACTTTATACACTTTTCTCAGATAGGACAGGTGCAACCCTTTTTACTTCCTTCTTAAAACTTATTATCGCTGCTGTCGTCCTTTTGTTATTTTCCTCCTTCTTTATGTAACGAACCCAAGATTCATTTATTCTGTAATGGAGCCTACAGCGCAGAGTCCTGCACTGCTCCATTTTTGGAGACCCCCAGTACAACACCGCACCTGCCAGTACAGGACCACACCCGCCCGTTAACCCGAGATTATGTCAAACTATTGCGCTGCATACGCCACAGACTGAACCAAGACTAAACCAGGACTAACCCAGGACTAACATAGGACTGATTCTAGGACTGAAGAGGAGGACTAATCCAGGACTGAACTAGGACTAAAACAAGAGTAAAACAAGAGTAAACCAGGACTAAACCAGAAGTGAAACAGGACTCAGTGTCAGGACGGGCTCGGAGGTGATGCAGGAGAAAGGATCGGCTCAGAGCTCCACACCTCACGGAGGTAAACGCAGCAGTTGCCCGATCGAGCTTTGTGTACAAACTGCTCGGCGTTCTCTCTCTTAAATCCAAGATTAGTCTTGGTTTAGACCTGGTTTAGTCCTGACCCACCCGTGTGTAAAAAAAACAAAAAAATAATGAAATTGACAAAAAATAAAAAAATCTGCGAAATGGCGAGACCACGAAAGGTGAACCATGATATATCGAGGGATGACTGTAGCTCAATGTTGAGGCCCCACCACCCACCCCCGGTAAGGTGTCCCCCTAGTATACATATAACAATACTGAACATAATCCAGTATATGTCGATGTTCACACACACACAGACACCCGCACACACACACTGACCATGTACATGTTAATATTTATACCTATTGGTCTATAAATACACTTAAATATATAAATATATTGAGGGTTACAGTTCTTCTGTAAGTTCCATGGGCTACAATATGATTGATTGTATTTCTCTGTACTGCTCTATCATTCTTGTCTTGTATATATTTTTAAATGTGTAAATAGTTTTAGAGCCTTTTAAAGTTTCATCTAGACTATTCCACAGATTATCACCTCTGATGGAGACATGAGCTTTCTGAAAGAGGCCTGATCCTCTCAGATTATACTCACTCTCTCTGGGTTTGAACATCTATACACTGAGGTGTATATAATAAATAGACAATTGGTAAACAATAAATAAATAAAAGACAC